TTACAGTGCACTCAAAGAGTTTTTTTTATTTATTTTTTTATCAAGGAACTACTCACATTCACACACACACACTCACACACCAGTGTACACAGACACTGGGAGCAATGTGGGTTAAGTGTCTTGCCCAAGGATACAACAACAGCATTCATCTTTGGCACCTGGAATTGCGCCGCCAACCTGTGGGTCAGTGGATCTGACTACTCAGCCAATGGTGTTTCTGTTGAGAGTGGGATTCAAACCACCAACCCTTAGATGAGTGGACAAACACACTATCAACAGAGTTACTGTTGTTGATGCAGTAATATTGTCACTTCCAAGGTCACAGATACAGGTACACAGAATTTCAAAGGCAATGAAGTCAAAATTTTCCCTAACGTTTCTCTTATTCAACAGTTACTGCTAAATAAGGAAAGTACAATCCATATTATTTAATAGAGATATTCTAAACAAATCCTTAAATTACTGCTTATAAGAACTTCTTCTGTAGTCAAAAATATATTCACTTTTTAATTTAACAACAGGCCTTTAGTATTTAGTGTCTTTTCACAGTAGACCTATTCACCAGAATGTCCAATGCCAGGGCTAACAATTTGGTGTAATCCTATTAACTCTGATGCGTTGTCCAAATGTGAATCCACTGACAAATTACATCACTCTCCACTCCATCGGCGAGACCCTGGCAGCAGATCTGGACTGCTTACATAACTAATCCCAAACCCAATTGTCTTGTACCCACTTTTTTTTTTCTTTTTCTTCCCTTCTGCATCTTTCTGTCAGTTTCGCACATAGCTCAAACGCTCAGCTCTGTGTCAGTGTCTCCGGGGGCCACGAGAGCTGCCAAGAGACCCCCCATCTCCAATCCCCATCTGTACACCACACACACAAACACACACAAACACACACACACACAAGCGTAGGACGGAGACTGCGATCCTGCCAGCGCCAAGGTAGGTGGGCGCGCGTCACATGCAAAGAAGACATGCAAAACACACTCTACAGAATTGGCTTTTTATTTTATCCCTGTCCTGTTTCAGATATGGAGGAAGAGGAGGAGGAGGAGGTGAAGCTAAACCAATGAGAAATATAGAGCTGTGTGCACTGTGAGGATATTAGTTCTTATGCAATTACAGCAGCAGGATATTGTAGTAAAGCTAATTAGTCTGTATGGGAAATAGACTGTGTTGAGCAATGTATCCATTAATATTTTGTGTATTTTATATTTATATACATTTTTATATATCTGAGTTTGTGCATACTTTTATTTTTTAATATATTTATTTGCCTGAATGTTTGGAAAAATGTTAATGCAATAGTGGATTATTAGAAAGATGTAGTAAAAAAAAAAAGTAGTCTTTACTTTGCCACTACATTTGGATCATTTTATCAATATGAATAGATTACATCAGGGGTGTCCAAACTTTTTTCATCAAGGGCCATATATGTAAACACAGATGAAGCAGAGACCTGATCGAGGGCCGTAGACTGGAGCTCAGTACAGTGAATAACTGAAATATGTGCAAGGTTTAACACGAATAACATGAATAAACACTGATGGCTCATGCTAAGATCCTTAAAACTACACACTAAATATTAAATATTCGCTTTATCAAGGCAGATTTTCCAAAAACTTGCAGTAAGAAGTTAATTTTTAAATGATATAAGGTAATTTGGGCCAATTCACCTGGAAGCCTGAGGGCTAAGAAATATTTGTCTGAGGGCCACATTTGGCCCACGGGCCGTAGTTTGGACATGCCTGGATTTGATCATTCTATTTGGGTATTATTAAAGGTCCTATACTACATAAAATTTATTCTTATGAACTTTAGCTACATTAGAATGTCCTGGAGTTGTGTATTGTTTCATTCACACATGTTTCAGTTGTCAATTTTTTATGTTTTGTAGTGGTTGTTTTTGCTTATTTTGATGTATTTTATTCCTTTAATGTCGCGCGCTCTTGGTCTTATTTAGACATTTCTCCTGTCTGCTTCTAGTTTTGTGTTTTACTTCCTGTCTGTTGATTGTTTGCCCCTGATGTGTTACACCTGTATCTGTGTGCATATATACTCTGTGTTCTCCTCTGTCTTTTGTTGGTCTATTGTTTTTGTCAGTATCATGTCTGTTGTAGTTTCTATTTTGGATTTTTGGATTTGGTTTCTTCTGGTTTTTGGTTTTGTTACATTAAACAACTGAAGTGCAGTCCTGCATTTTGGGTCCTCTCCTCTTTTTTCGTGACATCAGTAATCTTTTATTATTAGGCTGTCTACATTTCCAAAGCTCAAAATACTCCTTGTGGTGTCATGAAGTGGAAGTTTTCAAGTTTTCTAGTAATTCCAGGGCTGAAATTATTCAAATGATTCCAGTGAAGGTGTATGGACTTCCTGCATTACCACATGACATGAGTGTTTTGTTTTATTTTGCATGAGAGAAAAACATGAGAGCCTAAATATGCAAGATTTGTGTGTTAAATAAACATGTGTGAATGAAATGAAACACAACTCCTTTAATTTCGACAGCATCAAGTGTTGCAGTCAGGCTGGGGATGCAGTTGTTGTGGTGGTGTCATTAGACAAGGGCAGAAATAGTTGGCATAGTGACAATAGTGATCGTAGTTACTAAAATGGCTATTGTGACAGCACCTATTAATAGCACATCATAGTAACAGCTCTATTGATAATTTGCAGCTGATGTGATCAACATTTCCTGGGGATGTGATGCTAACTGTACGCTCTGCTCTGTCTGAAGCTCTGTGACTCAAATTAGACTTAATCTGATCCTTTTTTTTTCACATAATCTGACCAGAAAGAATTGACTTAGATGGAACAACAACAGGACAGATTTCATTTGTGTTGTTATACAAGTCTCTAATAACACTCACAAGTCACAAGATAACTAGCATTAGTCAACAATGTTTCAGTCTCACATTTTTCCTGAAAATCAGACATAAACAGGACCATATAAATGCTCGTATTGATTACAGACTCCTGAAAATGTGTTGTTCAAATCCATTTTGTATTCAAACAATCTTAAAACTTTTTGTCAGGGTTTGCCAATGTTTATTTGTTTATTTATTTCATTCATAAAGTATAAAGACATTAACAGTGTCACAACATCAAACATGCAAGAAATGAATGAAAAGGAGAAGAAAGAAGAGTAATCTTATTTTATCTGCTCCCTTTTCCCTTTTCCAGACAATACAACAACACAATTATTAATCAATTGCAAACAGAAATCTTCACTATTATGCATGACAATTTAGTTTCCTTTTTCACACATACAAAATGCACTGGATTTTATGTGTTTTTTTTAAATGTTTGCATTGCTATGGTAACTGACGAGCATTCTGCCAACACTCATACATGTAGAACACCCCCAGCGTGATGTCACTTCAAAGTATCAATAGAGTCATAACAGTAGTAGTGGGATGTATACAAGCGTAAGGCTACTCAAAAAGAACAGCCCATCTAACAGAAAGCTTCCTGAATGCCTCGCTGAGATAAACAGCACATCTGCACTTTTACAAAGCCATAGCTCAGGCATGTGTTTATTCAGCCAGGCATTTATTTGAAAAGTTGAGAGAATTTACAGTGTTTGAAGAGTGTCAGGAGCAGACTGTGGTCCTGTGTCTGCAGCTGAGAGAGAGCAGAGGGCACAGACAGGTCAGCCTCATCTGCACTATGTGAGAAATGTGCCCTGAGCCAACAACAGAGACAGCAGACCCACACCACAGACAACACACGCTAGTTTTGGCTCTCGCACTGGCTCTGTTCACTGAACTGCTAATACTGGGCACTGGTGGATGAAGTACTTACTTTTGTCACTTCAGTAAAAGTGAATTTGTTAAAATGTATTGATTTTGATTTAAAAATTATACAGATTTTGGTTAGCCGTGTCAATACAAATCAATGTTTCCCATTTGAATTTTGTGTATTTATTTTTGTTCACTGAAAGCCAAACCTTGAACTCAAACCCTTTAATCAGGATGTTACCACAAACATGATAAAAAATGACTCCTAAAATCAGTAAAAGAGTAGCCTATCTTTACTTTTCAGACAAAAATGTAGTGGAGTAAAAAGTAGACATGGCTCCATTGTGTTTTTAAACTCCATGCACCTTCACTAGAATCATATGGATGATTTCAGCCCTGGAATTACCAATCTCTACTAACTTAAAGGTAAAAGGAGCTGTTAACTTGAAAATTACTGCTACATGACATCACAAGGTGAAACAGAGCATTTTGAGCTTTTTAGTATGCACCTGCATACTGATTGGTTGGAATGAGATGGACAAGATGACATTTTAACATAATTTCTGATATATAATTAGCATTATTCAGTTTCCAATTTTAGCCTTTTGGTAATTTTGTGTTTGTTTGATTTCATATTTGTGTTTCCATTCTAATACAGTTTTTGGAATTGTAAGAGGTCTACCAAACCATAACCCTTTTTAGTTCAAATATAAACACTTGGATAAAAATTTCATCACAAGATCTACACTGCCCTTTCTAAATTCAATTAAATTCACCATTGTCCATAATTTACAAAAGGAATGGAAAAACTTAGAAATGTAGACAGACTAATAATAAAGGGCTTTTCAAACATGAATGAAACAAAACACAACTCCATGTATGTTTTTAAGGAGAAAACAACATTTAAACATAGTTTAAAGCTCATGAGTCAAGTTTGCGCAATACATAAGTAATATGAAGTGGCAAAAGCCAAAATGAATTGATAGTTTTAATACCCCTAATGGACCCCTTTTGGCTTATTTTATCTCTCTTTTTTTGAGTAACTATAACCTGTTTGCACCTGGTATTTATGAGTTCATGCAGAATATTGTCCTAGGCTAAAACCCTAAAATGTGTAGAAAATTATTTTCCCCTTTTTCTTAGTAAAAAGCGCACTCCCTTGATTCGTCACTAGATGGAGCTGTTATCCTTCTTCAGCAGTCCGGAGCTCTGAAGGTGGAGGTGCTGCGCCTCCTTCATTGTCTGTGCAGGCTCCGGGAGTGGATCCACCGCTCGCTCCACTCTAATCCCGTCTCTCTGGGCTCGCTCACTCAGTCGTCCGCCATGGCGACCGCGCAAAGCCTCCTCTCCCGCACCAGCAACATCTGAAAACTCACCCGGACCTCTCCCTCTTTCCCCGGACGCCTGAACGTGCATGTGACAACTCGCTTGTGCTGGGGAAATTACATACGTGTGGAAGGAGAAGCCCGCATTAGGAGAGAGCAGGGTAAGTAGATCGAAGCCCGAGTCCTGCGTGTGTGCTCTTAGGGAAGTGATTCAACTTGTTTGATGAGAATCGGATTAGGGTTAAGTCTCGGGAGAATCTTTGCCGTGTTGTTCCGTGATCCTGCGGTTTTCAGGAAGGTCAATAACTATCGCTATGTGCCAGAAATCCCCATGTGCGGCGCGTAACTGCCCCGTTTGCCCCTGCGATGTGTATGCGGTGCACATATGGATGGGCGATGGCAATGCAGTTTATTATATAGGCTATAGATCATAGTTGGGGAAACGCATTGTGTCTTTATGTGCCATTTATTTCCCTAGGCATTGCTTTTTCCATACATGTATTTTTACAGTAGGTGAGTCCAAGCGAGTGCAATGTCACATCTTCCTGAAGGAGCTGATCGTGTCCTGGGGATTACAGCAGACTGTTCCATTAACCTACATTACCTTAACATTGTGAACGCTCTACAAGACGTGCGTGCGTAAAGGAGTAGGTGCGTGCCAACTGCCATCCTACTCTTCGCTACTACGTGCATCATTTACGCAAATTTTGCATTAAGGCTTTACTGGCATGCTACTGCTGCAACATGCATGGACCCTGTTGACTGTGGTCCCCATGTTGAACATATGAGACTTACAATGATCCAGTAACGCCAGCCACACCCTGGAGAATCACGTTTCTTACACTCAAATTATGCTTTTGGGTTTGTGTTTTTTTTTTTTTTTTTTTTTTGCCTATATTTCCTATGGGAGCTTGTTACAGTCACAGGTAGACAGCTGCTGGTGTGGCTACCTTCTCAACTGTCACTAAAGGCTTCCAGTTGTGCAGCACTGGGGTTAGCATTTAGACTGAGGGGCCCCTGTGTGCCCCGGGACACAGAAGAACCACTGTTTTAGCCACTTAATAGGTCAACAGGCACCGCTCTACATTACACATTTGTGGGGAATTTCAAGCAAACACGTTCAAAGACACAAACGTGGTCCATGAATGCCTCTTTCACAATATATTTTCAACTTTATGTCACCCCCACAGCTGTTGAACTGGCAGCTGGTTTGTATGTTTGTTTAGTTGCCTCTTCAATAGAGCTTTTGACATAGGCACTTATGCGACTGGTGTAAGGGAGGGGACATGTTGGCTCAAATTATTACTGCTACTCTTTCACTACCCTCTTTAAAGCATCTGGACAAACTCAGATGCATAGGGTAAGAATTTACAGACTTGTATTCGACACACGCCAGCAATCTGGGCAAGGGCCAAGCTTTGAGAGATGGCCATGGGATCAAATGGCACCAAACCACAGGAGTGGAATACAAAATTATGCAATTACTCACTGTGCCCTCACCAGTGTTGGCAAGTAACTGAATACACGTACCTGGGCTGGTCACGATAATTATTTCAATATTTTATAAATGGAACAATAATTTTTGGTCATTGAACTGTAAAAGATTGCACACAAATGAATTACGTATGTATACAGCTCAACAATATCTTACATTTAGAATAGTTTTTGGGATGATTCTGATATTTTTGTTTGGGTTCAGCATTATCAGTTATCATCTATATTGACTTTAGCAATATATCGCACTTCAACATTTGTTATTGTGACAGACCTAGCTGTACTGAAAATATACAAGTGTATTCAGTATTGCAGTACAGTTGCTTTTTCAGTTAATGGGGTTCAGAATACACAGTTTTTTTTCTAAATCAAAGGAATACATGGTGGCACTTGATCACAAAATTTAGGCTTCAAACGAATGGAACAAAATTAGACAGAAAATAGACAACATTACTTATAACGTGCATTTTTTCCTTCTTGAATTAGTGATAGGAAATACATAACAAACAGTGAAACAAACATAAACTGTTTTTAATCCCCATGTTTCGTCTTTACATTGTAATGGAAATACAACTTGGTGTAAAAGTATTCAAAGTATACAGAATACAGTACTCAGTATCACAATACGTTACAAAATGCATTTTAAAGGTGCATTGTGTTAGCCTGATTCATCAGCCAATTTCACTTTGTGGAAAGTGTCTGACCTCGCAGCATTAGGATTTGTTCTCTCAACGGTAGGCGGGAACTTTAAAAACAAAATTTGGTCGTGATGTATGTAATGTAATGCACTCAGTGGTGTCCAAGTAATTACCGGCACAACAGCAAACAAAGCAAAGAGTGAAAATCCTTGATCTCGGGAATCGTTGCCGACACAGAATGTATGGCTTTGTCTACATCCATCTCGACTGCTTTGTTTACTGTTGTGTTGTACCACAAAAAGGGAACCAGACAGGCGCTTGAGTTTGACATCATGGCTTCACAGTTCTACACTGATTGGCCGGTGCGCAGTCTACAATTTCCGGGGTTCTTGCAAACCTGTATATTCTGATTCCTGACCTAGTCGCTGGAGAAAAATTTAATTGAGTGGAGGCACTAGGTGGCGCCAGCCTGGCTAGCATTGTGTAACTTTTCTGGTGGAGGGTCTGTCAGATGCTTTTCTTCATGGACATGTTATTGCGTTGTCTGGAATGTTTCACAATACGGCATTAAACCTTTCTATCTTCACGGAGACTAAATCAGACCAAGTTACAGGTCAGATCTGTGGTGAGGCAACTGCCAGAATGCCTGTTTTTTGAGGTATTTTTGAGCTATAAAACCACCTGTAATTGAATAAATCTAAGGCAGAGCTGTTTAATGTCATACTGTGGAACATTCCAGGAAGAGCAATGACATCCTTGGACCGCCAACCAAAAAGTTACATAGTGCTCTTTTAATGCAGGCATTCTGTGTTCTGTAACTAAATACATTTTCAAAGTATTCCTATCCTTCCCATCTCTGCTCCTCACTGACCGTTTTAACTTTTGTAGCAGCCAGTATATACAGACAGAGTTAAGCTACACAGTACACGTATTTTTATATGTGGTCCCACTGTTCTGTAACACCTAGGAGCTAACAGGTGCTACAGAATACTGATGAGAACACAAATATAGATCACTGTGAGCAAATTAAGGATGCAGTGTGGTATCGCTTGAGACAGTGAGTAGCATCTTTATTAGCAATGTGTAATAACGTCGTAAATAATAGGCTTGGCTTGTCCATGGTACTATTATTGACAGCTACAGTTGATCTAATCATTGTAATCCTCGTGCTAATGCCAAACACAAATAAAATTGAGATAATTGTGTCAGGAAGGGCATCTGGGTTAAAACCTATTGAAACAAAATGTTAATCAAATACCACAAAGAAAAAGCTATTAAAAATCACTTCATCTGATAAACATAAGTTAAGAATGGGACAAGACAAGTTGAAATTTTAAGATTATTTCTGTTATATAAATGTCACGATTCAGTTTCCACTATGAGCCTCACATTTTTTTATTAGTTGGATTTCATATTTTTCCATTCTAGCACTGATTTTTGGAACTGTAAGATATGTAACTCACCAAGCCGAACCCTTTTTTGTCCAATCCAAATAAAAACATGAACTTGAACATGAACAAAATAGAACGGCTGTCCAATCCTCTAATTGGCCCATATTTCCTGGAATTGGCTCCGGTCACCCCAATCCAAACTGAAATACACAGAGGAAGATGAGTGTCTGAATACACTGCCCTTTCTAAATTCAATTCACTTCACCATTGTCCATGATGTTCTCTGTCAAAAACGTTTACAGAAGGAATAAAGAACTTAGATTTAGACTTAGACTTAGACAAATTTTATTGATCCACAAGGGAAGTTACATGGACACAGTAGTTCACAAATTACAATAAATATTAGGGCTGTGTATCATTAAGAAGTTGCCGATATGAAATATACCTCGATGCATTAGCCACGATGTGATACATATCTCAATACAGTGCACTTTAGATTCGATATGATATATTTCAAAGCGATTCAATATGTTTCAATAAAAAATAAAGTCTAAATCATGTCTTAAAGTCTCGTGCAAAGTTCATATGAAAAATTTTCGCCCATTTTACTATTTACAAAAAAGTTTAAATGTCAAATTTGTTGCAAAGAGTTTCCTTCCACTAAACTAACAACAAAACTGTAGCACTGTAACAAAAAAGTTTTTTGTAAAATATACTAAAAAAAATACTCTTGGCAATATATCGATACAGCAGCCCACGATATCGATACTGTATCATCACATTAAACAATGTGATATATCGGTATTTTGATAATGTTGCACACCTCTAATAAAAAATAATAAGAAAGAGCAAAAATATAAATCATAATAAATTCTAAATAAGTAGCAAAAATAGTAAAAATACAGTAATACATTTCAGCTATATATAGGAGGTTGTGAGGGGAAACAGTGCAAAGATAAAATAATGATTGACAGGACACAGAATTATTTATATTACATAAGGGTGAGTGGTACATTTGTATGGAGTATGTATGAACGTAGTCCTGTATCTCTATCTGTTTGAGCAGTGCTTTAGGAGCCTTTAGGAGAATGAGCTCTATGTTTTCAATTGCAAAAGTGTACAGCAGTGTCCATGTCCTTGGCTTGTTTTGTCTTCACCTGGATTACATTACCTCATCCTTTAAAACTCCTTATTCAGCTAGAGTTGAAATTGGCAGTGCTCACTCACCTCTGCAGTAGTTTTTACACTTGTCCCATAGCTCTCTGGTGAAACATTGGTTGAGATCCTGGGAGTGACAGGGGCCTGCTGCAGGAATGTGCCCAAAATGAACAGAATGAAGCAGGACAGCCAGGCCTTGGGGACATGCACTGTGGACACTCTGGGCTGGATGGTCGCTGGCTCATATATCAGTGCACAATGAATGAGTATGCGCGTTTATCCAAACACTGGGCTCTCTCTGTGCGCTGAACCTTCTGGCTACATTAGGATAAGGTGTCAGGATAACAAAGTGTCTTCAAAAGTAATTGCCGTAACGTACATACATTTAACATATGGCCAAAGGGACCAATTTAACCCTTTGCGTGGGTGGCTGCTGATACTACAAGCTTTGATTTTAGAGCATGTCGGTCAATGAACTGTTTGATTTTTAACCTGAACCTCCTGATTTCTTTCGCCGAGTCAGATAACAAGTGTCCAATATGCACTTTGAAAAGCAGGACTTGTGGTGGGAATATACTGTTAATTAATGGCCCCATGAGCAGCAGTTATCCGCCAATAGTGGGAAGTGCTAATACCGCATTTGCAATTCCATTGTGGTGTAAAGTGTCTAGACTTGGGAAAAAAGTATATTTTATGTAAGCAATTTGTTTTGTCATTCATAAACAATTACTATTTGGTAACATAAATTGCATTATAATGATCACATTGCAACATTTTATTACAGGTTTATATAAAACCATAATGGAAAACTAAATATAATGGCCTAATTCTGGAACAGGGTTAAACTGCCTTTCCTTTGTGAAGATAGTCCAGACCTAGCCAGGCTGGCGCCACCTAGTGTCTCCGTTCAGTTTCATCCCTTTCATACCTGGGTGGTACAGCACAACAGTAAACATAGAGGTCGAGATGGATGTAGAAGAAGACATACGTCCTGTGTTGGCAATGATTCCCGAGATCGAGGATTTAAAGCTGGAACAAAGAGTGAACAAATCCTAATTCTGAGAGGTCAGACTCACTGATGAATCAGGCTAGTCCAGACCCAGATCTGCTCAAAATCTGGAGATGCATCCCTGGTTCTTACACTGTTTCACCCTCTGCTCCTGACAGATTGCTAGATGGATCAAATGCAGAGGACTAACTAATCTTAACTAATCTTAACTGCAACTTCTAATTTGCTTGAATACATTTCTAAATACTTAGAGTAGCTACATGCTTATGCCTGGGGTTAACCCCGATCTTTTGTTATTCATTTAAACTAAACCTCAGTTTATTACTAAATCTATATTGTAATAGTGGAGATAGACAAGGTTAAACAATATTTAGAAGGGCAGTGTTGCTAAATTTGCCAGTGAAATCACACCCTGGTCCATGATATGCCCCAGAGTCATTTCTTTATGTCAGTGGTATTGACTAACTATAAGGCCATTATCCTCTCACTGCTTTCTCTTTCCTGTACACAAACACAGTGGTGGATTCAGACCAAACTGACTGAGTGTGCATATAAGTTAAAATGAACCCTTTTGCACCCCTGTAGACACAAACTATAATCAAACTTTCCCTGACTTTTTCTTGTCATATGTCCATGTGCAGGCGGTAGTCCACAGACAGGAGCAGGATGGCAGAGGCAGACCCAGAGCCCACAGTGTCTGGAGCAGGACAGCGCCTCGGGGCCCCGGAGACTCTGGGCATCAGCACCCTGGACCCCGGGCACAGACCCCCTGCCATGCCCCCCGGACGCCAAGTCACCATCAGGGTCCGAATGCTCGATGATACAGAGGAGCTGTTTGACATCTCGGTGAGTTCAGAAACATTCATAAGACAAAGACCTTTTTAAATGGTATTTGAAAGAGGTTGGCATGGAAACAGCTTGTGCTAACATGTCTGTATTTAGGATTTTCACAAGAGGTAAAAAAACACTAGATTAATGGCAGATGGAGTAAGTGGTGTAAGAAAGTAAACCAACTGGAATAAGAGCTGTGTGATATGAGAGACTGAGGAAAAATGAAAGGAAATGTGGATAAGGGTAAGCCTGTACTGAGCTGGACAATATATTGCAAAAAAGAAACTAAACAGTAGAGTTCTCAATATGAAAAAAATAAAAATAAAATAAAAATGATAAGGCATCATCATGCTTGGTCTTGATTTAGTCTCAGTTTTGGACACAGTTTGACTTGCAAACAAAGGCATGTACATTTTTATTAAAAGTTTATACAAATATTGCAAATAATTTTTCTATTGCAATACTAGTTGAGTAACACAAGTTGGATTCAGAGTCTGTAGCCCTGAGCGCAAGGTTGCAAAGCTGAAGATGCTTCTTTTTCAGAGTGACAGAGATGGATAAGATTGTGAATGAAAACATCAGAGGCACTACCTGGTTGGAAGCCTTGAGGCAGATCAGTGATGAGTTTTCTGGATGCTGTGAACATTGCTGGTATGAGAGAAGAAGATGCAAACCGTCTGAAATTGAAAAAAAAAATAGTAAGGTACAAGATGAGAACTGATTTACCTATTGTACTTTTAATCATCACTCTATTCACCAACCAGACAACTTAAATATGTCTTCTTTTGTGTGGTAAAAAAAGTCTCTTCCATTTCTGTGAGATTCGTCTGAATGGAAAGTAACGCTAAATAAATTCCATTCATGATTTCAGGATTTGGTGGATTAAGCAGCTCTTCATTTTGATCTATATTTAGAGAACCTGGCTCTTGTCTAATCACAACATGTGTTCAAAATCAGATACACAATGTTTCATAGGCTTAGGGAAGACTTAGTGCTAGTGATGCTAATACCTAAGTGATTTATTACAGTTATCCAGACATGAGTGGGCTTTCTGTGGCGTAAGACCTGTACATGCGCGATACATTACAAATGAAAAAAGGAGGAATCTGTCATAAGCCCCTTCATTTCCTGCATTCCTCCATGAGCAGTTGTGTTTTTGCAGAGATGTCCATCCACTTTGATTTAATGTCACGAGCGAAGGGCGGAGTACGTGAGAAGACTGCCATTTGGCTCCAAAATAGAAAACCAAGGCACTGCGTTTAACCACACTGAAGAGGTGATGGAAGAGCAGCTGTACCGTAGCAATCCAGTGTGCGCGGATGGGACTCAGTAGTTAAGCTTTATTACTGACAGTTAGGGAGTGCACCAAGCAGGATGGATGGGTCCCGCTGGCTCTGTCCCAAGGCAATATAGGTTAAAGTGTTTCTAAAAAAGGAGAGAGAGAGGAGATAGAGAAAGAGTAAGAGATAGGGAAAGCTTAATCAAATGTGTGGTGGTTGATGCTTAAGGCTGCTCTGATTGATTTGTGTAATTGAAGTTATTCGGAGCTCTTCGGGACATGGAAGCATTTAATGTGATGGTTTGTGGGCCACATGATTGTTGGTGCCAATACTGAAAAATTTGTTGGAACAGATATCGACTTCCAAATATCGATTTAGCCGATATCCTGGTTAGGCTTATAAAATGAAGTGCTAAGACTGTTTGCTTGTTGTAGTTGGCCCAGAGAGTGTCATAATGTTTTAATTTTTATTTATACAAAGTTGCTCTGTGGTAGCCAGGCTGATGCCACCTAGTGCCTCTGCTCAATTTAATTTCTCTCCAGCGATTATGTCAAACTCCAGAAGTGCGAGTTTGGGCACCAGCCAATCAGCCGTACATTCTATGTAGGCAGTGATTCCTGAGATCGAGGATTTAAAGCTGGAACAAAGAGAATGTCTGGTGAATTTTATCAAGGGGAAAGACATTATTGCCCTTCTTCCTACGGGATTTGGGAAAAGCTTATTATACCAGTCAGCCCCATTAACGGTGCATCACATACTTCACGACCAAATAGCAGCGATTGGTTAAATGAAAAAAGTACCCGCCTACCGTCTAGCGAACGAATCCTAATGGTGCGAGATCAGACGGTTCCTATGAAGTGAAACCGACTGATGAAAATCAGGCTAGCTCTGTGGCTACTTGAGGGATAAATAGCAGCTACATAACATATTTGGATCAGTTTTATCTTTTGTTTAAAGTAAATAAATGTTGTTTTCAGTCTCTGCGCTGGTATCGGTTGATATCGGGAATTGGCAGATGCTTAAAGCTGTAGTATTGAAATCGCTATGGGAATTGAAAAAGCTGGACTGGTACATATCTATTGTTTCTATGACTGTAAAATGAATAGGTAATGGCTTTAGCTTTTGTTCGTGTGGCCTGTTTGTTTGCTTTTTGCTTTTATGTTTGCTTAAGAGTCATACTGCTTACTATTATAGAGAGAACTGCAGTGGTTCCTCTTATATGGTTTTCTGCTTCCTCATCTATTAACAATTGTGGTTTTGCATGAACTCAGCTATTCCTTTTGTTATTTCTGTATTTGTTGACTTTTAAATGTAACTTTAAGTACACATTCCTGATGGATTTTCTAAGTGAACAGAATAATAGTTTTTGTGAACATCCAACTCTGGTTTGGGGTCAAATATTTAAAAAACACCTGAGACAAAAGATTTAAAAGTTATCCTGTTGAGACATGTACAACTTAGCAATACTGTACGTGAATGCATGCATGCGTGATAAAGGCCTGATGAAGTATATATAATTGGTTTCAGTGCAACTTTATTTATGCAGCACATTTTACAAACAAATCAGTTTCCATAGTGCTGCACAGAGATCATAAAATAAAAAGGTATAATTGCTGAATATTTGATCATATCAGTCCTAAAACAATTAGACCAGCATGAAATCAAATAAAAACAAAACAAATAAAATCAAGAAATAGCAATAAATATGTAAAAAGACACCACATAAATCATGCAATGTTAAGCCAGAGAATAAAAGTGGGTCCTTGTAGCTCGTTTTTTAACTAGTTCTAGTGGGGTTTTTGCTCTGTCCTTATTTTCTACTCGTGCTTGTCTAGACACTCAAACTCGCCTTACAGGTTGGTGTATTATTCATTCGCTCTCAATATTCAGTGATGGTAAGCTATTTCTGTAGCCACAACCCCTCAGACCACCACTTATCACGCACTACATTTATGCAGAGTCAAAGTGGGTGAAGTGTCTTGCTCAAAGATACAGCTGAAGTATGTATTAGTTAGTGCTCAGAGTTGGAATTGTGAATATTTAACTTCCCTGGTCAAAATAACCCCTTATGTCTTAAAGGTGCACTATGGAACTTTTTGGTTGGGAGTCCATCACTTGCATGTTTCTATGGATATTTCATTGCTCTGGATGGAAAGTTCCACAGTATGACATTAAACAGCTCTATGTTATATTTATTCAATTACAGGTAGTTTTATAGCTCAAAAATACCTTGAAAAGATCTGACCTGTTACTTGGTCTGGTTTGGTCTCCATGAAGATAAAAAGGTTTAATACCATACTCAGTAATATTCCAGACAAAGCAATAACATCTCCATAAAGAAAAGTATCTGACGCACTCTCCATCAGAAACGTTACTCAGTGCACCTTTACCAGACAAAGATAAACTTTTATGTCTTCGTAAGTTGGGCTGGGTATCATTAAGAAGTTGCTGATATGATACATACATCGATACATAGGCCACGATACTATACATATCTTGATACAGTGCACTTTCAGTTCGATGCGATATATTTCAAATCTATTCGATACGATTCAATAAAAAATAATGGCTAAATCATGGCTGTGATACTAAAAGTCTTTGTTAAACCCCTTTTTGTGCAAAGTTAAAAACACACACATTTTACTCATCAAAACTGTGAAAATGTCAAATGTGTCACATAAACAAGTTTCCTTCCTCTAAACAAGCAACAAAACTAGCTCTGTAACAAAATAATTTAGTAAAATATTTCAAAAATACTCTATACGATATATAGATATTTCAATATTTTTGCACCCCCTATTCATAATTAATAGCTCTGTATGCTTATAAGTGAATAAATGTCTTGCTCAAGGATACAAGTGAAGTATGTGTTTGTTATTGCTCAGACTTGGAATTATGAATTATGAATATTTAACTTTTTATAGTCAGAATAGCCCTTGTGTCTTTACTGATAAAGATTAACTACTGTCAGTATATGGGCTTTGTAAATAATAGCTCTGCATGCTTTAGAATTCACATGATATGCTTTTAAAATTTTACTCTTCCCATCTGCAATTTATCGTATATGAATAATGCATGGCCAACTGTTTCTGCAGATGTTTGAACTTTATAGTCATAAGAGACAGCCAGTTATGCTAATTTGACCCACAGCTAATGCGAAAAACCACATTGTCCAAATATGCATAGAATACACTTGGATGTCTTTAATGTAAACACTCAGACTCGATGTGGGCATGTTTTCAGCTGGACTCGTATGGGCTGCTGGCACAGGGGTAACAAAAGGGGTAACAAAAGGACCCGGCTAACAGAACGCTTTATTCTCCGCTCAATTTAACACACATTAGGCCTTCTATCTGGAGTCAGTGGTTCCGATAAGAATTTCAGCTGCTTCATGTTGTTTCCCACCAGTGCATACAAGGACTACCTCCCACTTGTCAGCACTTTAATATCACTATAGACCAGCTTGTTGTAGCAGTAAGGTGGGATCACAAAAATGAATTGGTTCTTAAAGGGCCCATATTACGCTATTTTCCGATCTGTTATAATGTTGTTTCCTCATCAAAAACATACCTGGAGTCGTGTTTTGCTTCATTCACACGTTAAACACACAAACCCTGCATATTTAGTCTGAGTTCTTCTCTCAGCCAGGAAAACACTCTGTTCCACCTTGTGATGTCAGGTATAGCCTTACAGGAAGTGCTCTATTAATTAATTTCAGCCATGGAATTGCCCATA